CAAAAATCTGTATTTTTTTTTGGTAACAATTAGAAGTCATAATAAAAGTTAAATACTATCCTTATACCAAGCTTTATAGTGTTTTTGAAACATTCAATAGTGTATGATAGTCTTGTATAAGAATATAGGTATAAACAAGGGTGATGGTTAGCTGGTCCCTACCTGCAGGCTACTCAGCAATAGTTGATAGTTTTGATGCCACTATCTTTATACTAAAAGCTATATTATTCTTTGCTTTTGACTGATCGCTTGTTTGCTAAAGATATTCGCCCAGTCATGGCTGGAAAATATTTGTATAGTCATCAACGCTCTTATTGTCATAGTGAACCAAAAACATCAGCAGGAATACACAGTGAATGATAGTTATTCATCGGTCAATGCAATTATTGCATTTAGATTTAATTTTAAACTATAAATTATTTACAGCATCAATCGATAGTTGAAATTATCAAAAATTAGTTGAAGGTGCTCTGCATTCGATCGTAGGTACAATTGAAAAATCCCTCAGGGATAAGAAAAACATATTAGTGGCTTTCTTAGATATAGAGGGTGCTTTCAATAATGTAGAATAGATTCCTAGAGGTGGCTCCCTCGGCCTGATCCACTACGACCTTCTCAGATCTGTTGTGGTCCTCTTCTGATCCTTCAATAATATAACGACAGAGGCGATCGAAAAACCATGGAGGAACTAAAGGTAGTTAAAAACGAGTTAACCATTGACTGGGCGTTATAAATGCTAGAGAACAGGACTATGCGATCACCAGAAAGCGCGCAACAAGAGGCACGCTACAAGGAAGGATATTATCACCTCTGATGTGGGTGATTGTAATGAACCCGATCCTGACCTCACTGACAATGAAGGGAATTATGATAAAGGCATATGCAGACGACGTGGTAATACTGATGATTGGCAAAGACTTGCAGACGATCAGTAACATCATGGAATCTGTTCTGAAGAAGCTAACGGAATGGGCAAAAAGGAATGGTTTCAGCATTAGCCCAGACAAAACCGAACTCATTCTGTTTACAAGAAAATACAAGATTCCCAAGTTCACGCTACCAAAGCGGGAAGGAAAGACACTTCTACTTGCTAAGAAAAAAAATATTTAGGAATTACCCTGGGCTCGAAGCTTTCCTGGAAAAGGAACGCTGAGGAATGAATGATAAGAGGAATAAATGCATTCTATGCATGTAAGAAAATGTTTGGAAGATGGGGTCTGCAACCGTACATTATACACTGGATGTACACTACTGTAGTTAGAGCATCATCACTTATGGAACATAATAGTGGGAATACATGAACTATAAGTTTTATAATAAGTTCTATAATAAAATGGTGAGATCAGGAAAAACTTAACACCAGTATTAATAAAAAAGATATACAGGGTTGTTCACCACATACAACGCGGAGTAATGTAGCTAAACTCTTAGATTTTTGCAAATTGTAAGTTTTGGGTTCGATGAAGGACTATTAGAGGTACAATTTAAAAATAATTTTACATGATACAGAGTGTCCCAAATGAGTAAAAAATATCTAAGTTGTATTTTTTTAAAGAAAGAAACTGTGACTCTAACAATTCATCAATAAAGCTTAAGTGGAGTGTGTTTTTGGTGCTATGCCTCATCTTTGTTGTGTTCCTGGTGGAAAGGATAGTTATACTAGGCAGCCTAAAGTGTCCGGAAGAGCAAGAAAAGTGGGTACGAGTTATAAATCAAGAGAATTCTATTGAAAATATCTTTAGTAAATTTAAAAATAATATTCTCTCATGATGGTATTAATGAAAACTGGACAATTATGTTTATTTTATTCATATTGTGGAATCTCCACTCAAGTGTTGTTGGTTCAGCTTCGATAGATTCAAACACGTAGGTAGGTATTATGATCTAGGGAAAAATAAAGAATAAGTATATTAAAGATCATGAAAAGATTATTATTTTGAGTTCAAATTTTAAAAGATTTTTGTAAAGACAAGACTGATACAGTTTAAAAGAAGAATGTGTTTTTGTTTGATAATATATAATGTATGTCAAGCATAACATATATTTGTGCAGTAATTTTTAATGAATAGAGTTGATTATTTATAATACAAATTAATATCAAATATTTAAGTGATGGCTGAATACAATATGAATAAAATAACAATAAAATTGATATATTTGCATAATACAAAAATTAAGTTTTAAGAATAAAGGTGTTACTAAAAATACTAAGAAATTAATATTTCTTTTGTTTTAATTGGTCTAATGTTATTTACATTTTATGTAAGAATTATACCGTATCATCGAAAAAATCGGCGTCTAGTTGGCTTGGAAATGAACATCGATGATAGCTCCCTAAATAACTGTACACATAAAAAATAATTAACTAGAATTTTACAATCTTGGGAAAATTTGATATTCTTTTGAACCTTGTTTCTAAATATTCTAAATTTTTGATTTTCTTGGGGATTTAGGTTCGGGAAAAACGATGATTAAGTTTTCATTTGGTGTTTCATTATTTTTATTTGGTTTAAAAAACGTTTCGGCTAACATTATAGCCTTCTATCAGTGTTGTGTCATATGAAAAATAGTGTCGAATATAATCCAAAAAATTACATATAAAATATTCACACCACGCACATAATGTTTACTGCGTACTCCATAGTCAATGTAGATAATTTTAGTGTTAAGAATAATAATTTTAAAAATATGTGGTCATCTTTTGATAAGTTTATATTAGTTTATTAATTGCAGTAAACATTATGAGGTGTGAATTATATTGTATATGTAATTGGATTATATTCGACACTATTTTTCTCTGGCAGACACAACACTGATGAAGGCTATAGTTAGCCGAAACGTTTTCTTAAACCAAATAAAAATAATGAAAACCCAAATGAAAAACTTAAATGAGCGTTTTCCCGAACCTAAAAATCCCAAGAAAATAAAAAGTTTTAGAATAATTTTATATAAAATGCCAGCGATCTTCATTTCATTAGCCATCGCTGACGCTTTTTTTTTAGATAATATTGTATTATTTGTAAATATAATTTTTCGAACATTGATACTTGCAAAATATACATATAAATTTTGTGAATGCATATAATAATACATCACTATTAGTAGATATTGAATGTTTTTGTTAAATTAGATCGATTTTCAAACCCCAAAATTTAAAATATATTACATTTTTACCATTATCTTGTATGTACCTATACATTACTTGTACATTGTAAAACATTTGCTGCATTTGTATGGTTCATAGTTTATTTGCAAAAGTATTTATTACTATAAATAGGTATATATGTTGTAGTTATTAACTGTATATTATGTATATTTCATGTAAACTATATCATTTTTAAAATACAAACCAAAAATCTGAGGAATAATTATGTTTTCCATGTATTCTACAAAATATTTATTAATCCGTTATATCTAACTAGCGTGACGTCATAAATCTCGCCCGTAGGCTGATCTTTTAACTTAGATTAAGAATAAAAATAGATAGAGCAAGTCATTCATAAATTCACAAAATCGAGGTGCCTACATCGTTTTATCGGTGAGTGCCCCCACTACCATAGTTTATGTACAGCGGGGTAAAGAGGAAAGTGGTAGGGGGAGTTTACAGCGGGAAGAGCATCAAACAGAATTTAACCTTGAGATTCATTGATGATAGTAAAAGTAAAAGCCAGAGATATAGAAGTAGGTGGTTAGAGGCAAAGATAAAATATTTTTTAATAATAAATTTTAAAAATATGTTCATGCAATAAAACTAATAAATTATTATAAATACATAATAGTATATGCTATAAAATATTTAACAAACACTATAAAAAATTTATTTATTAAATATTCAATAATTAAAAGTTAGATATAATTAAAAGATATTATACGTATTGTATATAGTATAGTGATTGATAATTGATAAACTAAAATGTTAATGGATCTATTATATAAGATGTCTTGTTATTTAGATAGTATTAATTACAAAACAAAAATAGATGCATGTGAATAACTATTTTTTATATTAAATATCAGTAGATATTATTTACAATAATAATATAATTAATATAATATATAATTAAAAAGCACAAAATTCATCTTTTCCTACCTATACCATATATTCGGTAATTTTAAGTGGAAATATTAGCACAAAAACTAAAAAAAAACAATGTTCTGTATTTTTCAAATTCATATTAGTAAGAGAGTAATATTTTGACCAAACGAATTCTCAGTGTAAGGATATTTACATACCATATAATTTTACATTAATTAGGTATTAATCATAACACGATATTAATAAAAAACACAAGTGTTGTATTTTAATAATATATTTAGGGACTGAGTAAAAAATATAATATATGTATAATATTCTTACATTTACAGGTTCATATTAAATAAAATATTGTAACCTGAAAAATATATATTTTGTTAAAATGCCACTGTAAGGATCCAAGCAGAAACTAATTTCTCATTGGCTTTTTACTTGTCGACATATGTATTTGCATAACAGATAACATAGTTATAGCAAATAGTCTAAAAAAAAAACGGCGTCAGGCGGCTGAGGAATGACGATTGATATTCAATTTAGCGAAGTCAATCTTAAACTACACCATTTAAAAAATCATATTTACTTAATGTAAAAAATAAAATACAACCTTAGAGCGCCTTTAAAAAGTCAGTATGAGCTAAGAAAATGACTTCTAGGGCTTGACCTCACTGGAAATTATCATATTTTCATTTCCCCAGTCGTCTTTGAAGCCGTTTTTTCTCGATCGTATGGTTTCCTAACTTATTCAATCAATCAATCATTTATTTATTTCCATAAAACAATGTACAATTGTATAGGAATAGTCAATACCTTTAAAGCTAACACAAATATATAATACAAAATATAAAACAAACACAACAGATCATAATAAAAAAATTATCATATACGTAGGCCTCATATTATAATTTGCAGGTATTCCTCCACACTATAAAAGTTCATTCCGGAACAAATCATTTTTTAAGTAAAGTCTAGAATATGCGATTCTAATCACTATCATAATTTGTCTCTCAACAAAAGTAATTCTGTAGCTCTGCCTAGGGTTCACATCTCTCACTATTTTGCATAGTAGCATTACGTCAATTTTAAACATGATGTAAAGGGACCAATTTCATATGCACTATGTAATTAAAGTAACGACTTCCACACCATGAATATCTTCACTTCCTAAACAAAATATAAACATGAAGTTGGTGAATATAAATATCTACATTGAGTATACATTGTGAGCAAAATAAAATTGACGATCAATGACATTCACCACATAAATTTACATTTTATAAAATTACATAAATCTTGCTTTCAAAGCCAACCCTAACGCTGTTTTTTTTTCGATGGTGAGATCTTATACAACTATAGTGTAATTTTAGTAAAATAATATTAATATAATATATATATATATATATATATATATATATACAAATCTATATACATATAGGGTAACACCTCTCATAGGACGCGAAGGCTCCAAGGAAAATGAAAGTGAATTTGTATGACTTGATTGATTTCTAAACCCTCCATTTGTTCTTTCAATACAAACTTCCATCAACAAAAATCCTTGAAACCTTCATATCATATGAAAGGCACCACCCTGTACACTTTGAATCTGTGTATACATATTAGTATATAGTAATATTTTATATTAAAAAATTAAACTGTAAATATATATGTACTTACATATTGTGACGGTATCCTAACAAGATCATAGTTCTTATCTTGTTATATGCAGGATCCTGATATCTTAATGTTAATTTCCTAGATGATGTTGAAACAACTGAAAGACCACAAATCGCGACATAAATGGCTGTGAAAATCATCAGATTTTAAATATTTTCTTCAATTCCTTATAAAAAAATCAGCTGTTCTTGAGTTCTCTTTTGCTCGACTTTTTAATATTATGCTATGAATAAATCCTAACAGAGAAAACCATTTAATTTTTTCTCTCACTATCTTTTAGAAATCTGAAATAAAAATATTTATCTTAGTAATAGAAACGTAAATAGGCATTATTTTACAAATGTAAACATACCAATTATAATTTATGTAAACATACAAATTATTTGTATTCATAATTAAATACAAATATACGATTTTAAATCGGACAATATTGTAACAAAATATAAACATTACTTCTTATAATATACACAATATATTATATTCACAAAATTATATTATAAAACAAATAAACAAATTTTAACAAATATGGTAAATATTTTAGGTAAATAAAACGATATGTTGTATTACCACAGAACAGTACTTACTTTTGAAATGACGATGTTTAAATTCTTTTATTCTCACACATTTTGCCAGTGTAGACCCATTTTAAATGCTAATTTTGGTCTTTTATATAAAATGAAACAATTATACATTAATAGTTTATTAATAGTTAAGAAATATGGAAAAATAAAAGCACGGAAAACAGCTGATCATGCCAATCAGCTGTTTATCGACAGTATTGACACTGTTGACCGCGTCCAATTCCCCTACTATAGAAAATACTGTTTGACCAGCGGATCTGTAGCTACGGAAGGAATGCGAGAAAAAAAAATCGATATTGCCACGTTTATCTATAAAATTGCAAAATTGCCAGACATGAACTATAAATTTAATATATTTTTATTATATATAATGTGTTTAGCATATATTCTGATGTATATTACTAACGAATTTTAACGTAGTTCATATTGTTCGATATGTTTTATTTAATAACTTATTTCTTTCATTCTGTATAATCTGTCTATTATGAAAGTTGAAGATTTTCAACGATATCATTGGCAAACCGGCATCGCCGCGCATGGCCGCCTATTCATCGAACATGATTGGCGAGTACGTCACAGGATTTGTTACACACGCGGTTGCCATGGCTTTTTACGCCTTTCCTATTCGCTTGCTTTATCCCCAACTTCACGGTCTCTTCTGAAAAGAGTAGGAATATTGAATACTATTGAAATATCCAGTGGCGGTGTCATTTTTTTGATCATTATTACTTTATTTCATTATTTTATACCGGTTATCCTAAACTTTATTCCTATATTTTTAGTATATTTGATAGTTAAGTTGTGTTTTTATTGTTTGTTGTCTTGTTATAATGTTTTCGTTCGTAGTTTTTAATTATTAATATCAAGTTTGATCGTATATTTGTGTTTTAAAACGAATAAATTTGTTAAGGGTAAGACGCTACATAGTCAGACAAGAGAAATAATAGCTAATTTATATAGGTAAGTTAATAATAACGTGGATGAAATCTCATTTGGTTTATTTCCTTGTGTTCATAATAGGGTTTGCGATGAAGAAGCTACAGAGAGTTCGCTTGAGTTGCCGCTTAAACGTAAACTTGAGCGGATATTTCTTTATACCGGAGTTAGCGTATTGGCTATAAAAAAATTCACACAGAAGATAAAAAAAAAGGCTGAAAACTAACCCCGATAAAATGATATCCTCTCTGGAAAGAAACGACCACGTGAGACTGCTGTCGAAAAGCTCAACGACTTTTTCGAAGTGGTCAGGAATTTGATAAATAGATTTTTATCTCGAATTCAAACTCGTCCCCACAATTAGAAAGCTTTTTGCAAAAATTGCAGGAAGAATCGAATTTTCCTTTTTGCAGGGAAACGCTTAGGGGGTTATTAAAATCAAATGAATTTTTTTTGGCGTAAATGTTAAAATAACAGATAAATATTAATGGAGCGGCCCATTATATTGCAGAGAGAGATATAAATATATATACGCGAAATTCGAAAATATAGCCAAGTATTATCTATTTGATGTAACATATGGGTAGACAATGACCTAACCTTTAAAAACTGCTGGCGAGCGATACCATATCTGGTGTAATAGGCAATATCAGATCTACTGATGAGTAAAATTATGTTTTGTTTGCGCTTCCAAAGTTAACTATTTTCAAGATTTTTTTTTTTGCTGGAAATAGTTATATTTAAAATTATGTATTATAGAAAAATATAGTTAGTACAGATATATAAATAAATATACCTCAAGACTCAGTCTTGATCATCTGCTGATGGCAGACGTGGTTAGCGAACGTGCGCGTCCAGTGTGTGTAAAATTAAAAGTGTTTTGGTGTATTGTACTGATTTAGTGTTTTATTTTGCTGTGTAACACCAAAGGTTCCAACCCCCAGCTGTAATTATTTCTTCTATTATATTAACAACACAATAATAAAATGATTCAAAATATTTAAGGGAGCTTTTAATAAAAGCTTTTAGTGTGTTTATCTGCTAACTCAACAGTAACGATTCAAACAGCATAAAGTTTTTTGAAAAAAATTATTAATCTGAGTATTATATTTATGATACACATTATTTTCATATAACACCGTACGCCCATGCCTATTTTATGAATGAAATTGGGCGTGTTTTGTTTACAACTGCGTTCCCCTGCCGATACCCCGTAGCTACAGATCCGTTGGTCACACTATACTATAACAACAGAGCGGCGTTGTCAGATTAAAAATTAATCCTAACGGCTGATGAAAAATGACGAAATTTACAAATATTTCAAGTTTATTTTTCTTGTAATCTTGACTGAATCTTAATAAGTACTAAATAAAATTATAAATGTCGAAATTTTGAAAAGTAGTAAGCTAATTATATTATTATTTTCTTAAGATTTCCCCAAAGTATACGTATACAAAATTAAAAATAAACAAAAGCGGAGAAATACTGGGCAACATACCAAACAATAACAATAGGATGTTGGCATTCGCATAAAATGTAAACAGTTCCCCTGTGTCTTTTAATAGCAGGCACTGGACAGACTATAGTAGTTAAATAATAAGGAAACATTTTAGGAGTCTAATATCAAAAGCAGCAAACTCCACCATTTCTCCAGTTTATAATTTAAATTTCGTTGTAAATTTTGGTTCAGTATCAATTTCAAGTGCAAATTTAATTATAGGACCGTATAGGTTGGAGAGTCGGAGTGTAGGAATGGAGGAGTTACCTGCTTTTGATATTAGACCCCTGATATATTATTTTACCTTTAATGATACTCTTTATCAGAATACAACGACAACTTAACCCTATGCAGGAATTGACTTTCAATTTGTTTGAATATTCGAGTAAATGGATATTTTTAAAATAATGATCTAATAGGTATCATTTTGGTGATAGTCCAGTTATAGCAGAAAAAAAATCTGACAAAAATATGCCAAGTTAATTGCAAATGACCAAATCCAAGCGGCTAGGAAGCAATGTTTGATTTCTTAGACATTACCAGCAATAAGTTCGAAATTAATTCTTTTAAATTCTTGGAAATAAAAATCGATATATCACATCGCTTACTTAATATTTCAAATTAACGTCCTGTGTTTTTTTATATGAAACAGCCTGTAAAAAACTTCATTTAATTTATTCATGATATAAACAAAACGTTTTAATTAATTTTTTATGCTATATACAATAGTAATTTTCATAAAAGAAAACAATACAATACCCGTATTATAATATTTAATCAATACCCCTTACTTAGCTTGGTAAAGTTCATTGATTTTAAGTGGAAAAAAGTAGACACAAGGTCACATAATGTCTAAATATAAAAAATCCAACAAACGCACGCTCTTTATGAACAGTTTTATTTCAGATTGATTTCACGAAAAAAAATTAAGCTTCATTCAGAACCTCGCAATTAGTGCAATAAATTAGTGGGTTAAATTACACTTTATACTTTTTAGTTTATGATCATTCACAATGTTTAAAAAACACAATTAAAATTAATAGAATATCCTAGCAACAGCTTGCGTTAGTCAGTTGTATCCATTGAGAATGCCTAATATTTAGCTTATAAAACAATCAACTTTTGATTTCTAACCACAATTTCTCTTGACGGAAGATGATCACAGGCCAAAATGATATTTCTCGCAAATTTTGAAGTAAAATTAGTGGAAAAATTAAAAGTTTGATAACTTTTTCTACTAATTGAAAATGTCTACCACTAATTTTGACGATCTGAATGCTGACATTGAAATAAAGAACAAACTTCTACGCTAATTGAAACCACTAATTTATTCCACTAATTGCGAGGTTCTGAATGAATGAAGCTTTTAGGCCCGTATTTATAGTCGCGTCTCGAGACGCCAAGACAGTCTTGGGCTCTTGAGAGAGCGATCCACAGAATATAAGAGCAAACGTCATTTTGGAGACGGCGATTTTCATTTTGGAGATTGTCATTTTGGATAGTTTATGTGATCTGTGGATAGTTTCTTAACCTAACTTTTTTAGTAAACAAAGTAAATCCGTTTTGCCCGATTAAACAGTTTTGAATATGTTAGAAGAGTTTGAGGATATTTTAGACCATGTGGAAGAAGAAAATCGTCTTCGAGTTCCAAAAAGATATATATGGGATGCAGGAAATCCAATAGAAATGTTTAGCGAGGGGGGATTTATGCCGATATAGGTTTAACAAGGCTACAATTACACAAACTATTTTACCTCTTATAAATTGAAGACTTGCAAAAACCTACCAATCGTGGTTTACACATTCTCCCCGTCATTCAATTACTAATTTGTGTACAGTTTTATGCGACTTGTAATTTTCAGATGGTAAATGGGGATTTGCGTGGTGTTAGCCAACCTACAATAAGCCAGATTATCAAGAGGGTGTCCATTTTAATAGCAGAACATTTGGGTGATTTTTTGTTCCAATTCTATATGTTCTTTGACCTCTTCTCTCAATTTTCTCCATTTAATATCTTAAAACTCACTCAACAAATCTTATATTTTACAAATCTCATTTTTTACACATCACAACGATACTTGTTATTGTATTGTTGAATTTGTGTAAAAAATAAGATTTAATAATCAAATTTAATTATTTTAGAGTAAAATTCAATAAATACGCTCATTTAAAAAGCCCGCGCTTCGATCCATTTAAAACAAGCCCTACTCAATAGATGGCGCCACTTCTGTAGGACCATTTTTCAGTATGGCAGAGTCCATTCTTTTTCTAGCTCGGTATATTCTTTGTATTCTTTGGTTTGCGCTCTCAAGAGCCGAAGACTGTCTTGGCGTCTCGAGACGCGACTATAAATACGGGCCTTAGTAATTTTCAAATTTCCATCCTCCATTTTTTGAAAAAAAATCTTTTCTATAGAATACAGAAAAGAAACTTGAAAAACTTTAAACAATAAAGTCTTTTGCATGGCACCCTGCGTCTCTACTGCCCATCTAAATATTCGCTTATCTTATGAAACAAGTCTGGTTCTGAAGACCATTGTATAATCTCAGAAACACTCTCGTGCTCAGAGAAACCAAAAAAATCGGCAAAGATTAAAATCAAATTCAAATGTATCAAGTAAACTGTCAAATAAACTGTCAAAAATTGCATCTCATGACGTCTTTTGCGTCTAAAGTATGAATATAAAAGCAGAATTAGTCTTCTTTCTTAGTATTTTTATTCAATGGTAAAAATACATGCAAATTCAGTAGATTCTCAATTGTAGAAAAACAAATTCAATGAAATCCAAACAAAGTTTCTT